GTCCCATTTGACCCAGCTATTCCCCTCCTGTAGATCTTCCCCAAAGAATTAAAAGAATCATACCACAGTGATATATGTGCACCCATGTTCAGAGCAGCACAGTTTGTAATAGCTAAAGCTTGGAAACAGCCCAAATGCCCATCAACTGGAGACTAGATAAAGAAAATGTGTTTTTTTTCTAAAATGGAGTACTACTTAGCCAGAAAAATGAGAAATTAGAGACAAATATTATTAAATGGATGCACATTGAGGTGATACTCTTCAGTGAAATAAACAGGACACACATGTGTAAATACCAAATAGTTTCTCTAGTGTGAGAAACTGAAAGTGTAAATAACGACTAAAAGGTATAATAGATCATGTGAAATAGGAAGAAAAGGGGCAAAGGGGAAGTCGGAGGGGTAGGGGAAAGGAAAGAAGGGAATGGAATTAATATGAGAAAATGAAAAAATGGAAACAAATGCTGCTTACACTAGCTAAAATTTTGATCATTAAAAATATTATGTTAATTGTTATCTTACCATTGTTGTTTCTTGAATGGACCCAAAACTGTTAATAAAAATATTGACGACTACATCAACAGGAACGCCTATGAATAAAAATCAAGGATATATTTAGTAGCTGTACAAAGCTCGATCACAATCTTCATAATATAGTTTGTATGCTTTATTTATGTTTTTTAATTCATTCTGGGATGAAACAAGATCATAATTGTCATTAACTTATTTTTATAAATAGGAATCATAATACAAACTCAACCTGAGCTGTGTATTATAATGTTTGTCATTCATTCTGGAAAATACATTTACTTTTAAAACAGTTTGCTTTTTCTACTGCTTTTATTTTACAAAACTGTAAATCATTCCTTTTAAAAGTCTTTGAAAAATAATTTGATGTTTTTACATCTTTCACATCTTTTTGAATTCTGAAATGAATTAGTATAGCGGCGTTTAAATTTTAGTTGTAATAACTATATTTTAATGTTTAATTCATGAAAATGCAGAGTTCATCAGATGTGTAACAGAAGCCATTATATAGATTTCTACCTTACCTGTTCCAAAATAACTTGAAAGTTCACGGAGTGCGAGCTGAGGCATCATGTTGCAAATTTGTTTCTTTTTTTCTCAGCTCATTGCGCCGCTGTTTGGGCTATCAAGCGGGGAATGTGAACTTGGTCTTTTAGCCACTAACCGCAGCCTGATGAAAGCCAGGTGGCCAGTGGATACGGGGCAGGGGCAGATGTGTGGCAGCCCCACCGAGGCTGCTGTGAAAAGCCACTGAATAGGCTCTGGTAATGAACCGAAACCCTGCTTTTACAACAGAGCTGTGTAACTTCAGCTGAGTAGAAGCAGCTGCAGACCTTTCCTTGGCGAAGAAAAAAAGCCTTATAATGTTAATCTGATCTACATTAATACCTGTCCTTAACCAGCAATAAGAATTACTGTTTTCCACAGATTTTTTCCACAGAGCTTTTCGCAATTCATCAAAAAAAATTTTAAAAATCGATATAAATATGCAGTCTACTCATGACTTTTATTTACATATAGTGTTTGTTCTTGAAAGCTATAATAAAGGACAATATTTTATTGGAATAAATATAATCTCTGGGTAGTCCCTGTTGTTCTTAAAGTTAACATTTTAAAACCAAATGATCTTTTTGTGAGTACAAGATGGGGAAATTTTTTTTTATTGTGTAAAATATAAACAAAAGCAAAAGATAAATATAAATGTATTGTATACCTAAAATGTACCAATAAAAGAATTTAAGAAGAAAAGGACTTAAATATATATCAGAATGGTTCATTTTCCCTACATCAGTAAATGGCTGTTCTATAAAATTATAACATTTGTGTCTGTGAATGAAAATACCCTGCTTTTGAAAAAAAGAAATTATCCACAGCCTTAGTTTTAAATCACTAAGGTTTAGAAAACCCATTACAGACGTTAGCCTGTTAATTCAGTGTACCCTTTTCCTTGTTTTGTTTTAAACTAGTAACCTATATGTGAAGCTATTAGAATATTTTGCTTATCATTGAATATTTTAGGCATTAAAATTGCTCCAAGCCTAAGCACATTATAAGATAGTTACATGTCAACCTGAAGTCTGATTGTTGTGTACATCGCAAAGAATGAGTTTCTACACCTGAAATTCAGTTTTGAACTATATGAATGAAGATGTTTGGATGGGAGGGGAAGGAAGCCACAAACCTTTGAAGTTTGGTCTTATCCTGGGATCGTAACTGACCAACATCCTGTTCAGGATATCGCTGGTGGAATTGCGCGGCACCCGATCCAGGTCCTCTGGCGACTGCTGACTGCATGCCCAAGAACACGGAACAAGAACACTGGTGATCAGTACTGAGAAGCAGCAAGCGGGAGCAGTGGGGATCTCCCCTGGGAAAAGGACTGCTGTACTGAGACACATTCACCACCCTGACCCGGCTTTTCCAGATGTGACTGCAGAATACCAACTATTTTCAGACCCAAAGATACTTGTACAAAAAGTCCAGGAAAAGTATTTCAGCATCCATGTTTACTAAGTGCATAAAGCACTGGCACAGTCACCTCAGTCCCCGTCCCCTGGTGTTACACAAAGTTAAGCAGAGATTTCACTTGCCCTGAAGCAACCTGCAATTAAAATTCAGGCGGGCACAGAGAGAGCATTCAGTGAGGGAAAACAGCAGAGAAAGCCTCTGAGCCACGGGGCGATTAACTTTCGGCCTGACACAGGCAGCTGTGAATTCCGTAAGGCAAGGAGAACCAAAGAAACCACCAAACAGTCATACTGACACTCATACAGTGATATTCCCCAAGAAACAGTGTCTGTTCTCCTCGCTGAATTAAATATGGTAGCTAAGCGGGAAAATTGACAAAAGAGGGCTCTCTGTTATCAGATCAATGAAACAGGTAAAATACTCCAGTGCTGTAAGATGATTATTTATTTCCTCTATAAATAGGGTGCAAGTATTTGCCATCAGCTCTTTACTCAGAAGAAAATCTGCCATACATTGCTACTTTAATTAACTTTGAAAAATAAGTCATATTAAATTGGTAGTTAAAAGCACTTTTTAAAAAAGATAACTCCTTGGAAGTCCAAGGGAAATGCTTTGTTGTTTCAGTTTGCTGCTTTGGTTTGCTTTCCCCATAGCAAAACCAAGTCCCTGAAGAACACAAGGTAGATGAAAACTACACTTGGAGTATCTAGCAATGATAGTCTGTACTGCTATGGTAAAAACTTTTAATTTAATAAATTAATGTATGTGGAACAAACTTAGATGCAATGGGCTTGGCTTTGTAGTGATACAGAGACTCCTTCCTGTTAGGCAGCTTGCTTCTGATAAGAGGCAACTGCTACAGTGAAATGTGACAGACAGAACGAACTTCACGAAAAATCAGAGAGGACCATGAATTGATGAAGACAGCCCTTTCCAACAAGTATCATTCAGAGTGTGAAACATTAAAAAAATGAAAGTCAATTAGCCAAACTTCCCAAGGGCAGAGGAGATGATATGGATTTTTAAAAAATGCTTCCAAGGGCTTTATCAGCTCCAGTATCTCAGCCTCGGGATGAGATTGGTAATGAGATTTTCCATGTTGCTGCAAGTGAAATTGTAACCTCCTTAGAGCCAATTGCCATCCCTATGGACAGATGGGAAACTCTAGGAGAATGAGGGTATGTGAGAGCATTGCGTATTAGGATGCAAATTAGTGTTCAAAGCTATCTACAAGTTTTCTTGTGCAAGGGAGGAAAGCAGAATTGATTATGGAATAAACTTGCACTGGACCAATTAAGGACTGTGATTATTGTGTCTCTTGATGTTAAATTCTTTTCAAGTCCATTTCTTCCAGGCAATGTAAAGACATTAATTAACACTAATTTTTATCGTTTGGAACTTTATGGCCCAATTTTCTACCTGTGAGTTGTATCAAACCCAAAATCCAGCCCTAACTCAGTAGCGAAGTGTCCTTTCTCTATTCACTACTGCAGAATCAGTCCCCCTTCTGTGAATATTGTATTGTACTTCTCCTTTCTCACTCAACCAATCGAAAGTCAGTCTGTCCTTCAAGACTGCTTTAAAACACAACTTTTCTAAAATTTTGCTTCAATCACATCTCCTTATTCCAATGAACACAAACTATTAAATACACCATTTGCCAAAAGTTTTGCAGATTTCTTCATCTCTACAGAGTACGGTCGAGACAAAATGCAGGCAGGACCACCACTGAGGGGCTCGCAGCTTCTATATTTCTGTAGTTCCTTATCCCACTTGCATGGTATTCAGCACACATTTGTCGGAACAGTTTCTATCCTCCAACTCTTGTCAGCGCACTTCAGTGCAGCGGTTGTTTGTGTTGTGTTGTGTTGTAGGGCCCAGGTCATCATTTCCCAGGGGAAGGAGGTTCTTTCTTCATAAAGGTCTTTTCAGGAGTGGCATGTTCCCTCCTCAGAAGTTCCCAACCATTGGGCATTGCCAAGTCAAGCATTGGCATAGAGAAAGGAAAAATCAGAACCAGCTCCAGTCAATAGTCTAGATTGGAGTAGATACTGGGGAATCCACCATCACATCCATTATCTACTTTCATTTGGTTACCTTATTCACTTGGCTAACAGAAGAGAGATTAACCGCACAGGAAGCTGTTTTTCAGTGGAGATGATGAGAAAAAACTGACTGATAGAGTGAGCAGGAGGTAAGTAAATGAAGCAATAGAAAAAATGGGACATGAGGAAAAATCCAGAAAGGTTAGTGGATTCTTTTTTTTTTTGGTACCGGGGATCAAACTCAGGTCCTTGCGCTTGCTGGACAGGCAGTGGAACCACTGAGCTAAATCCCCGGCCCAAGGTTAGTGGATTCTTCTCGGATGCTAGAATCAGGAATGAAACCAGGACTGGGGATGGAGGGAGTGACGGAAGCTTGTCTGCTAAGGGTGAGATCCTCACATCACAAACACAGTGGAGCCTAGAACCCTGACTTCTAGTTACATTCTCCTTCCACCGTGAGCCAGCCAATGTGGAAATGAAACACTGTGTTTCATTTCTTACTATTGTCTGAGGACAAATTTGCAACAGTTGCCTTTAATTTCAATTATAGAATCAGGCCACACTGCATTCCACAAAACACAATAAATGTTCCAATGAATCCAGCAGAGAAGTTTGGTTTTATTTTTATTTTTTTTTATTATTATTATTTTTTTTGGTACCGGGGATCGAACTTGGGTCCTTGTGCTTGCGAAGCAGGAGGCAAGACCACTGAGCTAAATCCCCAGCCCCAGGAGAAGTTTGGTTTTAGAGACAGAAAGGGCTGAAGACAGCTAGATCAAAAAACAAAAAAAGCAAATTGCTCATTTCGAAGTTACTTTCCTTATAAATCGGTGACAGGGCCACAGGACAATACAAAAATAAATTACTTAAGGGCAACTTTTTTTTCTGTGAGGATTAAAGCAGAGGGCTTTCCTTATGTCAACTGAAACTGATCTACTAGGGAAATTGGCAGTTATTGCTCTAAGCCTGATTTCTTAGAAGGTAAACATCTTAGTTTCAGTGTAGTAATGTGGAATTCTAGTGTGAATGACTCTATGTTTTTATTTTTACCCTTGTCTGGTGGGGCCCAATGAAGGAGCTTGGACCAAAACCATGGCTTCTTCTCATATTTATTTAATACCAATGTACACATATATTGCTTTCAGGGATATGTATGATATCTTGGATTCTATGAGCTTTTCAAGTCATTTTAAAAAATCATTAGTATTGACAATAAGAATTGGCCCTTCTCTACAATAGATCAGGGCTGTATCTAGCCATCTCCAAATGTTTCTATTTCTCTCCAAAATTAAAAACAAGTTGTTGTTTGTAAACACCAAAAACTCAATGTCAGTTGACAAAATTCATTCAAAATCAAACAGGAAACACATTAAACATTGTATGGTCCTTTTTCTCCTGTTAATTCTGTCAAGATATGTGTACATGACTCTGCTGTAGGGACCTGACATGAATGTTTAATCAATAGTTTGCCTTTCTTTTATATTAGAAGTTCAGAGACATTTTAAATTTGAAACTGAATTCCATGAAGTTTTTTTGCCTATGCATGAATCCAGGGTTCTTTCCAGATCACCAATACTAAAATCTCATTCAAAATCATCTCTACTGATGACAATATGTTTGAGAGGTTAGATGAAGATAGCACTTTCTCCCAAAGATCTAAAATAATTTGTATGTAGTATATTTTCGTATATCTATCTATATATCATGAAATATGTTAAACCTTGTCATCTGAAAAGTATTATTAATGCTAAATAGGCATGAAAGGAGTTAAATGGCTTTAATTAGATCATGTGCTTTATTATTAATGTGTCTGTAGCCTGAATCTCAGGCCAATGTTTTATCCATTTAACTCCACTGTTTTGTTTAATTTCAAGAACTCTATCAACAATCCCAATATATTACAGAGCAGGATTTATTTCCTGGAAATATGATATTAATTTAAAATAATAACTTATTCTGCTCAGGCAGAGTGATCAAATAACTAGAGAAAATAATGCTTTATATCAAAAGCCTTTTTACACTCATCCCTCTTTGTTCAACTGCCTAACCTTGAACCAATATCATTACTGATAGAGAAAGACATCCAAGGAATGCATCTGCGGAAGGGCTGTGTGATGTAATGTTTTCCAGCACCACCGAAGGAAAAATCCAGAATTTTTTTCTAAAGGAGGAATCTCAATTTTCTACTAACTGTAGAGTACTCTTATTTTACAGAACCCTTTTGTGATCATTTAAAAACAGGTGTGCATGCCGTATTGTCTTCATCTTCCCCCTCAAACAAAAATTCTGAGACCAAAGAAATTGTGTTGTTTTTCCACAGTTACAAAGGCAACAATGCCCAAGGACTTCTCGGAGCTGAACATTGGGTGGCATATGTCACCATGAGTACCGGAAGTGACTGGCCTCAAGTGCAAAGCCGCAAACTGGAGGGCAGAGGCACATGTTACTTTAAGGCATGCTTTGCCTCTTCGTTAGGTGACAGACACCTCCAAGAATCTGATGAGGGCAATGTACTTCAGGGAAATACTACATGGACTTTGCATTTCTGGAGGGTTCTGGATGTCTGAGCAGAGGTTAAGAAACCCCCTTTCAGAGAAACAAAGATAATCTTCCATCTTCCCATCATAGGGGACACTGCCTCAGTAGGATGCTTTGATTTAATGCTGATTATCCTTCTCCTACTTGAGAAAATACAAAGAGGCACACAGGATCCTTGTGGCAGGAGGATCAGATGACAGAGCTTTTCTTCCTGAACCCCACACCAACAGGACTCAG